ATACAACTCTTACATATATCATTAATATAAAATTTTAACTATTTATTTTTTTTTTATTTTTAATTAAGATTTATTATAATTTTTTAAATAAAAAAATAATTTTTTTTATAAAAAATAATAAATAAATAAATTTCAATTATTCACGGTAAAAATATGAATAGTTAAGTTACATTAAGTATAAGATGAGTTTTCTTAAATCGTTTACTGTGCTCAATTGTTGTGATTTGTACTGTATATACTTGTTCTTAAGGAAATGTTAGCTGTATGCGGCATGCACTTAGATTATGATTGGTCTGAGTATATTTTTCTCTTAGAAAAATTCAAAAGGAGAAAAAAGAAAGAAAAAGAAAAAAGTGAGCCGCTTGTGCACTTTGCAACTTGCTTAGTGCACGTAGCAATCCTCTTATACATTTTTATTTTTAAAACAAGTATAATTTGAGGATAGATAATTAAAAACTATAAAAGAATAGTGTTATAGTTTAAATTTTAATTATTATTGAAATATTAAAAACACATACTAAATGACTTGTAACGCCTAATGCTCTTATACTTATTTATGCCCTATATTATATAGAAAAAACAAATCCATAAAAGTTACGCATTAATTTCCCAACAATGTTAAAATAGTCTTTCATTCCCTTTACTTCTTTTAAATTATTCCTTTTCTCTTCTTTCCGACTAAACAAATTAATGAAAGTTAGGAAATAGGATTTTGAATTGAGTAGATTTGATGTTTTATTGTTTACTTCACCCATGATTATGATGATATATATTTTATGTGAAAGCCAAAAGGAATTCTATTTTTGGTTATTTCTCAGAAACAGCACTTCTCCAATAAATTCTCTTTAAAAGAACTTTCATTGAAAGCTCCAGTCACACCAAACGAAACCATGATAGGTGAAATCAAGTCTTGCTTACTTCCCTGGAATCTGAGCTTGATTTTGCTCAAGCAGCCTTTGGCTCCTACACCCACATATACTAAGCCGTAAGCACCCAAAACAATAAACTATAAGCTTACCTTCGCTTTGGGTATAACCTTAACAGCAACTTGTTGTCCTTTGAGTTCCCCTTTCTTGAACTTGGCTGAGCAGGTATAACCAAAATGGCCTCTCTGAGCTCACACTTGCTCCCAAAATGCTTCGAGAATCCAAAGTTCTTGTCAAGTCTCGTGGCCGGAACACCCTCCGCTTCACTCCCCTCCGGTATTGCCGCTTCGTCGCTTGGCCCAGATCTGCAAGAAGACAAGGAACGAGAAGGGATTAAAAATTAAAACTTTCACCAACTTACACTACCAACCAACAATCAGAGAATGAAGAAGAAAAGAGACCGAAAGAAGGAGATGGAAGCAACGGCTTCGAAACTGGAACAGAGGAAATTGACGGATGGAGAAGATGAGAATTAAGGAAAAAATGGGTTTGGGTTATAAATGAGGAGGTGTATATCGTGATTTAGTTTGGCTTTTCGAAAGCTGAAGCTGATCTGAAAAGCTAGGGGGATTGGTGCAGCTGGTCGGAAGACCTTTTGAAGCCCAAAAGGTCCAGCTGCACCAAACACCCACTAAAACTTGACGCTTGTAGTTTTAGCTACCTTACTTTCGGACGGGCTGGGCCTAGGCTAGTCAATCGACAGCCCGAGGCTTAATTAGCCTGACCCGAACCCGCCAAATGAACCTCTCGGTCGCCTGAAGTCGCCTGAACCCCAAAAACCTCTTACCGTAACATCTTCTCCAGTCTTTTTTGAGTGGGGAAAGACAATCGGAGAAAATGTCGGGTTTCCCATTGTCTTCTTCTTCCTCTACTCAATCCT